CCGCGCACCCCCCCCCGCCACGTTCCGCCCCGGCACGCGCAACCCATCCGCCACCACCGCCCTCTGCTCACGCCTCTCACGTCCCCCAGTGGAGCCCACCTAGGGAGCCTACCTAGTTCTCACTAGTATTTTAATCAGCATCCAGGTCTGTGTCTGCCCGGGGGCACCGCGTGCGGGTCTGTGTCTGCCCGGGGGCACCGCGTGCGGGTCTGTGTCTGCCCGGGGGCACCGCGTGCGGGTCTGTGTCTGCCCGGGGGCACCGCGTGCGGGTCTGTGTCTGCCCGGGGGCACCGCGTGCGGGTCTGTGTCTGCCCGGGGGCACCGCGTGCGGGTCTGTGTCTGCCCGGGGGCACCGCGTGCGGGTCTGTGTCTGCCCGGGGGCACCGCGTGCGGGTCTGTGTCTGCCTGGGGGCACCGCGTGCGGGTCTGTGTCTGCCCGGGGGCACCGCGTGCGGGTCTGTGTCTGCCCGGGGGCACCGCGTGCGGGTCTGTGTCTGCCCGGGGGCACCGCGTGCGGGTCTGTGTCTGCCCGGGGGCACCGCGTGCGGGTCTGTGTCTGCCCGGGGGCACCGCGTGCGGGTCTGTGTCTGCCCGGGGGCACCGCGTGCGGGTCTGTGTCTGCCCGGGGGCACCGCGTGCGGGTCTGTGTCTGCCTGGGGGCACCGCGTGCGGGTCTGTGTCTGCCCGGGGGCACCGCGTGCGGGTCTGTGTCTGCCCGGGGGCACCGCGTGCGGGTCTGTGTCTGCCCGGGGGCACCGCGTGCGGGTCTGTGTCTGCCCGGGGGCACCGCGTGCGGGTCTGTGTCTGCCCGGGGGCACCGCGTGCGGGTCTGTGTCTGCCCGGGGGCACCGCGTGCGGGTCTGTGTCTGCCCGGGGGCACCGCGTGCGGGTCTGTGTCTGCCTGGGGGCACCGCGTGCGGGTCTGTGTCTGCCCGGGGGCACCGCGTGCGGGTCTGTGTCTGCCCGGGGGCACCGCGTGCGGGTCTGTGTCTGCCCGGGGGCACCGCGTGCGGGTCTGTGTCTGCCCGGGGGCACCGCCTGCGGGCCTGTGTCCGGCCGGGGGCACCCCCCGC